CATTGAGTTCGGTATTTTACGCGGAAAAAAGAGATTCCATATAATATTAACAAATATCTCATGATTCTTTGTCACTTTTAAGTCTAACTTAGTTCATGCATGTTTCCTTAAATATTTTAATTAAAATGTGTTAAGAATTAAGAAATCCAGCTACAGGAAGTATAGAAAAAAGATCAAATAACAATGATATTCATATCTACATACTTGTCACTTTTATGAGAAAGCTAATACACAATGAAGCTTTAAATTTACATATTTAGGGTATTATTTAAAACAAAATTATTCATTTTTCTTAGTTTTAAGAAACCAAATAATATTTTCCTCTTAAAAATTTTCAAAACACATCAAACTACATTTTTTTTATCTCACAACAGAAAGTAGTTGAAACAGAATATTTGTAAAATACTAAGGGGTGGTCAGAAGAAAAAGGTTACAAATCGAATAAAGAAATATTTATTAACAATAGACAGAAAATACAAAAAGGAATTAAGAAGCATACGTGCCTATCACATTTCGACATAATCGCCAAGTCTATTTAGGAATTTATTAGAAAGCAGAACCAACTTGTTACCCCGTCTATGTAGAAATCGGGTTCCTGTTCATTAACCCAGGTCTCGGCGGATGTCTTCACAGCACTGTTTTGGAATATCGCAGAACATCAGAAGCGATATGCTGCACACTACCATAGCTCAGTCCCAGCTCTAACGAGATTTCCCTCAGAGTTACCCGTCGATCATTTTGAATTATTTCTTCAATTCGTGCCATGTTGATTTCTGTCGTTGAAGAACTTGGGCAGCCACTCCCTTCCATATTGCGGTATTCGACATTCCGTCTGTCTTATTGAAAAGAGTGGTACCATTTCTCTACATGTTGTCTGCTCCTTACTTCTTCAGCATAAACTTCCACGATTTGACTGTGAATGCCAGGTTAAGACACATACTTTGCCCATAAAAATTGAATCACTACTCGTACTTCCAAATGAGATCAATTTCCTAAGCTCTTGCCATTTCAATCGTCCTGTATCGTCTGGGATTTTTCATTATTTAATTACCTACCCGCAAACCAACTGTATGACATGTAGAGCTATTTGTCTCCACTCTGGCGAAACAAAATTTCTCCACAATATGTAGTTTTCAAATGGTGCGTCTTTCAACCTTTTTTTTATCTAATCATCCCTCTTAAAAAAAGATAAATAATTCTTAGGACCAAAATGAATGAAGTATGCTTAAAACAACACCCTTATCTAAGACCCTTTTAATTCCCTAAAAATAAAATAGCATATAGTCTGTGTTGTCCAATATACTTAATGGTAGTCCTTGGAAATACATTTCAACCAAGTTCATTGTTTTTTTCTCTCTCTCTCTTTATTTTTTTATTTTCCGATGTTACACTCAGTAGTTTTACTTCAGAAGCGATTACATTAGCCAATTAAATACTTATCAAGGGATTGGAAAACATGATTGTGTTCACAGCAAAGCGCTTAAGAAAGATAATTGGTTTCAGTTAGGAAGTGATTAGGAACAAAATCGTTTCCGGTATTGAAAAGGCGTTTTAGACAGTTGCAATTCTATTAAGAGAAAATACATTCAGGCAAGCGTTTTTTATTCTTACCTCATCAAACACTGTCAAAATAATATTTATTTACTTTATAATTTCAAGTTGTAAATTCAAAGTATAGATTGTGGGATATATTATATGCTCTTAAAAATTGTTTGGAATTTCGTAGTTCCATTTTAAATGTAAAAGAATATAATTGTAAATTTAAAAATTTCTAGTTTTTAATGCTATTTTATTTTTTTAGACAAAACTATTCGAAAATTGTTTCGTTAAGTTTTGTGTATTATATAATAAATTTGTGAAAAATATTATTTTTTAAAATATCGCTCATTGCTTTTTGAGATAATTGATTTGACAGTGTTAGAGAATATTTCTTTACTTCTATTTCCTGCTTTGCCTATTTCCTAGATATTTTTCGAATTCCAATGTTTAAACGAATTACTATAAAATTGGATTTTTTTTTCTGTCGAAAAGGTTAGCATTAAAGTTTTTTCTAAATCATATGAAAGTTATAATAAATTTTTTGAATAAGGTTTTTCATTCAAATTTCATTTTAGTTATTGTTCTTAAAATTTATGGGAAATACAAAATATTGTAGATGCTTACGAATAAGTAGAATACAAATATTAAAATAGTAGTACTTTTTATTTCAAATCTATGGTCAATAAATATAGTATTCCCACTCACAGCACAAAATTCACTTAACCCGTGATCACTGGCGCGGCGGGTGTTGTGTACACCCCATCAACAAGAAAAGCTTCCTGGGATTCCAAAAAGAATGCACAGAACCACGATTTTTTCTGTAGATGCACATTTTAGGCCATTGGACCTTCAGTCCAGATGCAATCACTCTCGCTCGGACTATTGTAACGTAACAACCTTCAAAAGTTTATCTGGGGTGTGAATCTCCCTCGAGTAATTGAGCTGTATTTTCGTATTAAAAGCATGTAAAAAATAGGGTAAGTTTTCATAATTTTTTTCAAATATATTAATATGCATGTATATTTTATTTAAAATTTCAATAATTATAGTATAAAAATAATATAAAACTTAAAAATAATTGCAAAATATAATTTTTTGTTAAAATTTTTCCAAACACTTTTCAGAAATTATGGCAAAAATTCCATGGAGAGGGAGCAACAGCAACTCTGTAATCTATTAGATACTGTATCGACAGATTCTGAGGATGAACTAAGTGATTTGGAAGACTGTACTTTCAGAAGAGCACCATATTGAGCAATCTATTCATCCCATAGATACGGCACAAGAATTGGAAGAAACTTGTCAGTAAAAAACAACAAATAAATTGATGGAAACAAATAATGAACAAAAAACACAAAAGAAGCTTTATTGATAAAGAAGATAGTTAAAAAGAGCATTAATTCACCACACACTCTGCCCTGTTTGTCCGAGGGTAAAAATGTAAAAAACCAATTCATTTTGCCTTCAATGTAAGAAAAATATGTGCTTTTATAACCATATGAATACAGTCTGCTCTGAATGTTTGGAAAATGATTAAAATATTTGTTTTCTACTTTCTCTATCCTTAACATTAATTACAAAATAAATGTATTACTGGTGTATACGTTTTATTTGTGGTTTATGAAAAAATATAAAATTATATGTGTTTCAAAATGAAACTTTTGTAGGTTTAGTTTAAATTAATGTTAGTCTTATTGTATGCAATAAATTTAATAATTTCATTTGCATATTACAAAAAAACATCTTGTACTGAATAAATATGTATCATAATTGACTTAATTTTTTTCCATACTGAAATACACGTATTAAAAGTTTGGGTTGTTCTCTACACCCCGCGAGTAACGACTGTAAACAACAGGCGCGAGTGACCACGTGTTAAATAAATTTTTATTTCTTTATATTTGACTTTATAAGTAACTAAATTAAGTAATAACTTTTATGATCCTTTCAACGATGGTCTATGTCTCTGCGAGTAACTACTTTCTTATTTTCTTTTTTTTCTCTTTAGCCATATTAAATATCCTTGACCATTACTTATATACATAAAATTGCTATAAATCTGACTTAAAAGTACTAAACACTATTATAGTTTAACACATGGCACTAAATTTGTAACATTTTTTTTCAAAAAAATTACACTGTGAAACCTGAATGGATATCTTCTTATCTGAAAGTAGGGACTGTAATATCAGTATATCGGGATACCGAATACTGGTATTTTGAGTCTTTTGTACAATTTTGTAGTACCGGTATTCTCATGTTTAAATACCGTTTTTTCGGTATTTACTAGAAATTTCTTAAATTGTCTCAAATTAATTTTCAAGGATCGCCAACCTAGCAACATTAAATGTTTTTGCTTTTATGTCTCTCTAAAGCGTAAAATTAATAAACTTTATATATAAAGTAGTATTTTACAATCAAGGGAAGTGATAAAATATGTGAATCATCCAAGGAGGCGGGCCAAAACTATTCGATTACAGCTCAGAACGACACTGCAAACGCGAAGGATTCATAGTCTGATATTCGCATCTGTGGAAACTAGGTTGTATTTGTGAAGAAAGTGCGTAATATTTCGATATATTTTAAATTGGTGAGTTTGTTATTCTCCTTATATTTGCATATCCTACAGTACATTTGATATATTTTCATTTTTAAAATCCAATTTCAAAAATTTGTAATAGCACCAAAGACTGAAAAGTGATATTTACTTTTTCTTGTGATTTAAAGTAATAAGATGTTCCTTTACTTTTTGAGATTATACAGTCATAATTTATAAAATACAAATTATTTGTTAAGATATTTACGGTCTTAAATAAAACTGGCAAATAAAACAAAGGAACACTTGAGTGTTTTCTTTCTTTTTCTAAAATTTCTACTACCAGGGTATTAAAATCGGTATCCGGTATTAAGATCTAAAAAACACCGAATACCGGCATTGAGCTTTTGGTCCGATATTGCAATCCCTATCCGAAGGGTATAAAGTTCAATTTCAGACCAAATGTGAAGAGTAATCAAGTTTGAGATTTTTTAATATTTTATTGCCAAAAACACTATTAATTTCTAAAGTTACAAAGAAATATGAAGGCATAATTTCTTTCTCTTACTTTATCTAGGAAGAAATAGCTTGTAAAAATGCATTTATAGATACATTTGGTTAAGTAAAAAGTATTGTATAGATTGACATAATACAGTTCTATATTACTAAACACTGTCTTTCGTAATGAATAACGTTTTTTCCCATGAAGTTAAAAAAATAAATCACCCACAATGTTTGCATTAAACAAATGTTACAATTATGAAATTCAATTGTAAAAGTCACCATTTAAAGATTATTAAGCTCCACACACATTATTATTCTCCTACAATTTTAAAAAAATTATTTTGAATCACTTTTAGTATTGTTTTAAGTATTCTAGCATAAATATAAATTTTGAAAAATACTAATTTTAACACTTTTACAGCCGCCCCACTTAGTATGATGGTTTTGACACTCGACTTGCTATCGAGTGGACTCGGGTTCAAATCCCGATTAAGGGATGGATGTATCTTCGGGGAAAGAAGTCGAACTTCGCTTGAATTGTATTCCCTTCTCGAATGGAAAACATCGCACTCCTTTTGTTCTATGCCGGGATCATCGTTTGTACAATAAAATCTACGTTCTTCTGTGTTTATATTGTATATTTCTGTTCATCTATCTCTCGTCTTCCATATGTATCCCAAGAAGAAACACACAACAACACCTCCATAAAAAGAAGCTTTTAAGTAAAATGCAGATTTTTGTACCTAAAACAAAAATCAATGATTATTTAAAATTTATATAGTTCATTTTAAACGGGGAATGGATTTCCGTGCTTTTAATAAAATAGATAGAAAATACCAGAACAAATGCATAAATACTATATCATAAGATGCAATGGTTTTTAAAATCATTTTAAAAATAAAAGTATCGAAAATAATTTGAAGCCTATCTTTCAACTTTTAGAACTTTCATTTCGTACATAATTTTATTTGAAGCTTTTTTTTTATTTCTAATGGGCCGTGGATTGTTGTTTTACCATTGCAGACCTAATACATTTCTCGGGAGCTGGTATCTATTTTTAGTACGGCAACATAGAGGCGGATACCAATCGCGGCAGGTAATTTTGCCGCCCAGTTTAATCCCTAGGAAGGGGCAGCTGAGCTCTGACGATGCGAACCGGTACTAGGATTTAATTTCCCGAGAGCACCCAAGTCAAACAGACACTCTTGTGATATTTTACATGTCATATAATGATACGACATGTCCACTGTTGATTTTCTGCATCTTGAAAATCCACCGACCTGGGCTGGGGTCAAACGCAACACCTTGGGTGCAGGCCAGCGACAAACCAACCACGCCACCCTGCCGGTATTTTAATTTGAAGCAGTATATAAATTGGTTTTCGTAAACTGTAATTGCTTAGAACCAAACATTAAAATATATTTTAAAGAATTAACAATCAACTGACCATTTTAATAATTGCATCTAATTTGAAATTACTACACAATACTAATAGCAATAACTGAAACAACACAGTAATAATATGCATTAAGAAAAACGATTATTCAAGTAGAGCGAAATATCAAAAATTGTCATTCGAAACTTTTATCTTTCACATTCAAATTTAATTTCAATTTTTTCCTGCATTAAAAAAATATTCGAATCGACATTTCAGCAAGTAATAATGATCAAATGTTAAAAACATTTCAAAATCGAAATGTTTCCCTATTTGCGAATTTAGGGTTTTTAAAAATTTCCATGAATAGAATTGTTTCGAAATACATTTTTAACTGTCTTTGACTTTTAAAATAATTGAGCTTCTGTGCATTTTTATGAGATTTTAATGATGTGGGATGTACCCCGAAGAATTTATTCTTCGCTTAAAATTCAGTTGTTTAAGCAAAAACAAATCACGGTACATATTTTGTAATTTAATTGACCATTATTCACTTAAATAAAAGCATGTATTTTTTCTTCAAATGTCTTAATATTTTTCTACTTTTAAATAAAATTACATTTTCTTACTTTTTTAAAATTTTTGAAAACTGCAAACTATGTGTGGACTTTGGTTTTTCATTCAATATTAGTAATCGGTGTTTCTTTTTGAAACATGTCTTAAAATTTTTGATTAGCTATTTGTTACCAAAAAAAACTTCGTTCTAAAAGTTTTTCTTTAATATAAAAGGAAGGATTAAAAGGTTCTTGACAGTTAAATTATTTTCTATTTTGAAACCCCTGAACACGAGTAATTTGTTTTAAGTATTTCCGATCAATTTGTTTTATTTTAAAAATGAACTTTCAGTAAAAAAAAAGGGAGATTTTTAATAGATATTTATATGTAGAATCTACACATTTATATGCGTTTTGTATTCTGTTCTACTAATATATATAATTCGTCTATACAGACATTAATACTCTACATCGGCAGCGTCCCAAAAATACAGATATTGTATCATCAGTAACTTAACAGTTTTTTTTAAAAAATATTTTCTATTTCGCTAATACTTCTCTCAACATACAGCAGTTGAAAATATTGGATGTCATAAGTAAATAACTGCATTCTCATATATCTTGTTTATTTAGTAAATACTTCGAATTTTTATTAAGGTGCCTGACTAGTGCAAATCATCAATTTTAATGAAAATGACACAAAAAAAATTTATTTGATATTTTTAATATTTGAATTTTCTTCTTTCTAAAAATACCTTACTTTTGCTTGTACTCCAATTATTTACGAAGTTATAGCAGTTTTTATGTCAAGTGAGAACAACAAAAATGAACCGGAAGTTAGAAATCGAAACCGAAGTGCTTTGAATTTGAAGATTTTTACTTTTTTTTGAAGTTTTATTATTAATAAAATATTAATTTTGGTAATCTTAAAACTGAATATGGTGATATTTTTTTAAAAATTATTTAATAGTTTTTAGTAAATTTGGCAACAACTTTACAGGTTTGTTGTTATATTTTGATTTGTTTATGTTCTAGCGATTCGATTCTTCGCTCCTCATTTAACTTATTATTTTGATATATTTTATAAAAAAACTGTCTTTTTAAAGACAAAATATTGATTAATTATGGCTAAATCAAGATCTGGAAGGTCTAAGAAGCGCCAATTTACTGGAAATCGTTATACCATTCGTGCTACAATTAATGAGAATGATGAAACATCTGAGCTCAATTCTACTGAATCCGCTAGTGCCAAAAAATTGGTATCAAGCCATACAAGTTTGGAAATTTTCTCAGAAATGTTGTTTGAAACTTATGAAGACAATAGAATTGTCAGTTTGACAACTTGATTTCATTGTTTGCTATAGTTTGCTGCCCTGATTGTTATTCTCAGGGCTTGGAACTTATAGAAGACTCTGTCAGTGGATTATGTTCACATATGAACCTAAAGTGCAAAAACTGCTCTTTCTTTAAAGGTTTCCCTACGACAGAGAAGATGAAAGGTTCTTGTCTGATAAACTCTTCAATTGTTTTGGGGCTAAGGATAATCGGGAAAGGATTTTCAGCTGGCAAAAAGTTATGCGCTTTCCTGGGTTTACCTTTCTATCAAAACTTGCTTTCCGCAATCAAGGAAGGAAACTGTTGAAAGCAACTGAACGCGTTGCTCAAGAAAACATCAACGCTGCATTAAGTGAAATCAAAGGCTCAAATAGTTTCACTAAATGTGGAATATCTATTGATGGTACTTGGCAACGCAGAGGCTACTCATCTTTGAATGGGTGTGTAAGTGCCATATCAGTTGACACCGGTAAAATTTTAGACATTGAAGTTATGACGCAATATTGCCACATATGCGCGAAAGGCAATAACCAATCATCAAAACTTGTATGTTCGAACTATAAAGGTTCCGCTGTGAACATGGAGGTTGTTGGAGCCTACCGTATATTTGAGAGATCAAATGTAAGGGATGTGCAGTACAATGAATACTACGGAGATGGAGACTCAAAAGGATATGAAGCTGTTAAAAACTTTTATGGAATTAATACAGTAACCAAACTCGAGTGTATAGGCCATGTACAGAAACGTGTAGGGGGGCGGTTGCGTCAATTAGAAAAAAACGATGAAAGTTTAGGAGGGAAAAATAAATTAACTGATAAATTAATTGACAGAATCCAGAACTATTATGGAATAGCTATTCGAAGCAATGTAGGTAATCTACAAAAGATGATGAGTTGTGTAATAGCTGCATTTTTCCACTGTGTATCTGGAAAAAACAATTCTTTGCATGGACAGTGTCCTGAAGGATCTGAGAGTTGGTGTCGTTACCAAAGGGCAAAAGCAGCTGGGAGTCCTCTCAAAGAAAATAAGCTAGGACTTCCTAACAAAATTATAAACCAAATAAAACCTACATATCTAAAACTGTGTAATGAAACGTTGTTGAAAAAATGTCTTCATGGTAAGACACAAAATTGTAACGAAAGTTATAACAACATTTTGTGGAATATTGTTCCCAAAAATATATTTATTGGACTGCAAACATTTTGTTTGGGTGCATTATTAGCTCTGATACTTTTAATTCTGTTATGCTGATATATTATCAGTGATTCGAAATGTAAATGGTTCCCTTCCTAAAAGTGTTGTTCAAGAGTTAGTTAAATTTGATAAACAACGGATTTCAACATCTTTAAGACACTCTTCACCGATTGCAAAATTGTCGCGAAAAAAAAGAAAAGCAGCAAGGAAAACAAAAAGTACTAAGAATGAAAAAACAGAAGGCTTAGTATATTCATATGGAGGGTTTTAAAGTACTTCTTTGCATGATTTTTATTTCTAATTTATGATAACCTTTGTGATAAACAATGTTTTTTAAGAGTTTTTTCGTGAATGTTTACGAGTAAAACAACACAAATATACTTTGTATTAAATATTTCTTAACTTCTAAAATAATATGGTAGAATATATATTTGTTTTTCTATGTTAAATATTTTTATTTTTTAATGCAATAAGGTTTTTTAAAATGCATTTTATATGTCTAATCTGTAGTTCGTAAACTATGTACTTTGACTTTAAGAAAAAGCTTTTTGACACTATAAAATTGTTAAAAATATTAAAAGATAAAGTTTGAAGAAAGTATATAATATTCATAATTGCTTTGAAAAGGTTTGTTTTTTTATATAGAGAGGTTTTAGGTTTTTTTAGCAGTATAGTTTTTTAAATTTGAATTTTAAATCTTTAAATGCATTTTTCTCTGAAACAGCTTTTTTGATATTTTACAACACGGTAAGCATGATATCTCAAAAAGTTCTGTATATAATTATTTGAAATTTTGTATCATGGTTCATTATTATAGTATGTATGCTGAGACGTAGGATTAAGAAAAAAACAGCATGTTTACCTTTTTTATAATTTTTTTTCTGTGTGATAAATGTGAAATTTTGAAAAATTTGCATTGCGTGCACTTTTTGACCTCTAGTTCAGTAATAAATTAAAAATTTTCAAAGATATTAGGTCAGTTCATTAGTAACTGTTTTCTGAGTAAAATTATATGGGTTTTTTAAAATTTTATGCATTAGAAT